AGTTTAGAAACAGTGTTTAGAATATTGCAAGAGTGTGGGAAGGGTTTAAAACACCTTTATATATATATAAATACACTAAAATAAACTACTACTTGTACTACTATTCCTGCTTTGCGGTTTTTCACTTATCATGGGGCTTCAGGGTACGGATCCCCCATGATAAACGAGGGACTACTGTGTATCGATGTATAGAGATATATCGCCTTTGGCAGAAAGTGGTAATAACGTAGGTATATAGGAGATAGTAAAGGTTATAATAATGTATAATAATGTAGGGTTGTTTGTCTGTAGAGTTAGCAAAATATCTCTTAAACCACTGGACAAATTTTAAGGAAACTCAGAGGACATGTTAAATGGACTGTACTTATAAAGAGCCTTTCTATCTAATCAAGATACTCAAAGTTCTTTACAGCACAACCTGTGCCTCATGTACCCATGTCACATCACGGCCCTATCAACATTTGGAGTCTACTGAATTCAAGATGGCTGCCACAGCTGATTAATCTTAACGAGCAGAGAACTGACCACAACTCTGTCTGTTTTACAGATACTGAGCTAACATGTGGTGGTAGCTGAGAGTCCTCCTCAAAACATTTAACGAGTTTCCACAATGTTGCATGACAGTTTGTGTAACATAATTTACAAGGTTTGACAAAAACAGCTACAACTCGATCCCTTTCAGCATCAAAGTCTTTTAGTTTGAACTCTGGCGGGAAAGGAACGCTAGGCCTTTATCTCATGTGGAAAGTTTTTCTTTAAAAGACGGTCTAACAGTGGTGGTGTCGTGCAGGTCCAGGATGCGACGGGAAGTGCTGATGGAGGGTCTTCCAGACAACGACACAGATGCTGAACAGCACAGCTACTCCCCCCCGGCGACACGCAGCCCCCACTGTGATGGAGAGGAGCGGAGGCTGCAGCAGCCCTCAGGACACGCCCGCTCCAGCATCAGCAGCCCGCTGCCTCGTGTCAAACAGGAGGCAACAGACAGGGCAGATGGTGGGGTGGAGCAGAGGGACAGCTCTACGAAACAATCAGGAGTTCAGTGTTGTCCCAAAGCTGGGCCGTTCCCGTCTTTAAAGAGCGAGCACGAGGACTCGATCACTGTTTGTCGTGAGCCCCACACAGCTGGCCAGAGCCTGACGCAGGACGAGCGGGGGAGCAGCCAGGGTCAAGGACTCTACCCTGGCACAGTTTCCATGGATGGCCCTCAGAGAGCCAACCAGTCTAGGCACGAGGGCGAAGACTCTGGGAAGTCGCCCGTTGATCCGGTCAGCTTCAAGTCTTCGTCAGAGCCATGTCGCAGCAGCCTGGAGGTCTCCCTCAACTCCCCCTCTGCTGCTTCGTCACCAGGTCTCATGATGTCAGTCTCTCCCGTTCCCTCTTCCTCAGCTCCCATATCGCCCTCGCTGCCCAATCCTCCTCCGGCGAGCACCAATCACAGCCTGGATGCTAACCTGCTGCCCCCCTTCCAGAGCCCCAAACCGAACAGGAACACTCAGAGACGTAACGAGAAAATGGCCAACCTCAATAACATCATCCACAGGCTGGAGAGGGCAGCCAATCGAGACGAAACACTGGAATGGGAGTTTTGAGCCCTCTTTCCCAGTAGCTGGTCTAGAAGACCCCCCTCCCTGCACACAGGAAGTTCAGACAGGAGCTTCCTGCAAACACGGCAGGACCCGGCTCCTCCAGCCTGTCCTCTCACTGCTCACAGAAATGAGAATGCAAATCTGAACATGAAGCTGAATTTCCTACAATAACTTCAGAATAAAAAAAAAAAAACTGTAAAGAAACTTTTTTTCTTTTTAATAACGTGTACTGCTTTGAAATGTGTGACAGCACTAGCTGTTGTTTTACCTTTTGGACTTGACGTGAAGACTTTTGCAGCTATGGTGTCATCAAATGTACACTGAAGTTCTGAAGATTGCCACTGGGTGAGATTAAAAGACCTCTGTCTTAAGCCATTAAAAGCACTATAACTGTTTAAAAAGAGACACTGACCAAATTTGCTACTTTTTGAATAGCAGTTTTTCAAATTTTGTCTGTCAGACTGGACAGTTTAAGTCGAGTAACGTGAAATCCAATTACTGACTGAGGGATAGTCCTTTAAGACTCTAAATACTCAACTTCTTGTACGTACTTAGTTTCTTGGTGATATGTTTTGAAATATTTGTAACTCAACACGTATAAAAAATGTGGTTGTACATGTTGTAGAATTGTCTGCAATAGCCTTCTCTGACTCTGATGTAGCATGATACTCACCTGACCCTTTTATTCTACGTAGTTAGTCACCTGTGAATATACTTGAACAAAAACAAACAAAAAAAAAGGTTGAACAACGACAAAAAGTGGAAAATCCTGCAAAAAAAAGGGAAAAACACGTTAAACCGAACACTCAAATACTTTTTTCTTTAACTAATCCTTGAGGTTTACAGTTTGGGGCCCTTGTGCGTTTGTTGGTAAGTGAAACGTTCACTCCACAGAAGCACGGTTTACACGGTTTCTTTCAGATGTACCTCTTGAACCCTCTACTGGTTCTCAGATTCTAACTGGCCAAGGCACGGGACACCTGGTTTACCTCATTAGGTTTGTGCACATCATGCATTTCATGAGCATCAACACAATCCACAGCAGTTTGAAGTGACGGGGGGACAAATCACTGCATCGTGCCTCAGACGGGGTTTGATCCTTCTGAGGTCAAACGTGAAGCTGAGCAGAAATTATTCTTTCAAAAAGAATACAAGGTCCACTCTCTTTTAGGAGCGTACATATTTGGACATAATAAAATGATCTGGTCTTTTCCAGCAAACCTCAATGAACTGAAGCAATGTTGTAAAAAAGAGTGGGCCAAAATTCCTCTACAGCCATGTCAGACCGAAAACAACTACTGAGAGTTATTGCTGCTAAACTGTTAGATCATGTGCTGGATACAGTTTGCACAAAGGCCGGTTTCATTTTTTTTTGTTTATTAAATTATGACATGGTGGAATTTGTTCTTTTATTTATATATTTATTTTGTAGAATTGAGAACAACCAGATAATTTTTGTCTACTGTTGTGAAGCAAATAGAGGGAATTGGAAATACCCTCTGTTTTTTTTTTAAAATAAGTGACTTCCATTTTGTTGTGTGCTTACATCTAGATGTAAGAAAGGTTCTTATCAAAAACTGGGTTGCCAGGTCAAAATCCAAGATGGCCACCGCTGTCTAAGTAAACGTTGAATGAATGAATGAATGAATGTACACATGCTGGTCATAAAATTAGAATATCATAAAAAAGTTGATTTATTTCAGTAATTCCATTCAAAAAGTGAAACTTGTATATTACATTCATTCATTACACACAGACAGATATATTGCAAATGTTTATTTCTTTTAATGTTGATGATTATAACTGACAACTAATGAAAACCTCAAATTCAGTATCTCAAAAAGTTAGAAAATTACTTAAGACCAATAAAAAAAGGATTTCTAGAAATGTTGGCCAACTGAAAAGAATGAACATGAAAAGTATGAGCATGTACTGCACTCAGTACTTAGTTGCGGCTCCTTTTGCCTGGATTACTGCAGCAATGTGGCATGGAGTCGATCAGTCTGTGGCACTGCTCAGGTGTTCTGAGAGCCCAGGTTGCTCTGATAGTGGCCTTAAGCTCTTCTGAATTGTTGGGTCTGGTGTATCACATCTTCCTCTTCACAATACCCCATAGATTTTCAATGGGGTTAAGGTCAGGTGAGTTTGCTGGCCAATTAAGAACAGGGATACATGGTCCTTAAACCAGGTACTGGTAACTTTGGCACTGTGTGCAGGTGCCAAGTCCTGTTGGAAAATGAAATCTGCATCTCCATAAAGTTGGTCAGCAGCAGGAAGAATGAAGTGCTCTAAAACTTCTTGGTAGACGGCTGCGTTGACCTTGGACCTCAGAAAACACAGTGGACCAACACCAGCAGATGACATGGCAACCCAAACCATCAGAAACTTCAAGCAACATGGATTCTGTGCCTCTCCTCTCTTCCTCCAGACTCTGGGACCTTGATTTCCAAAGGAAATGCAAAATTTACTTTCATCAGAGAACATAACTTTGGACCACTCAGCAGCAGTCCCAGGCGAGACACTTCTGATGCTGTCTCTTGTTCAAGAGTGGCTTGACACAAGGAGTGTGACAGCTGAAACTAGTGATGTAGTCTACATGATACGCTAGAAGAGTTCAAGAATTTCAGTATACTATTACCCACTTAAAAATGCTCAATGATGAATGGCATATCATTAGACACGTGTCATTGATACATTAAACGGTAGTTAAATGCTTCCATAACAATCTTAATGGTATGCATTGCTTTGCTTTGATACTGTTTTATAAATTCTATAACATGTTTTAATACAAAGCCAACTGTTGTACAAAGTTTGTTGTTCATTTATTCAAATATAAGCATCAGAGAAATTTGGAAATGTTCAAAATGCTTAAAAATCTAAATAAATTGATGATTACATTGTACTAACCACTGTACTTTGGTTTCTAAGCACAGTATACTCACTACAAAAATGTAGACTACACCACTGGCTGAAACCCTTGTCTTGCATACGTCTGTGCGTGGTGGTCCTTGAAGCAGACTCCAGCTGCAGTCCTCTTTGTGAATCTCTCCCACATTTTGGAATTTGTTTTGTTTCACCATCCTTTCCAGGGTGCAGTTATCTTTGTTGCTTGCACACTTTTTTCTTTCACATATTTTCCTTCCCTTCACCTCTCTATTAATGTTCTTGGACACAGAGCTCTGTGAACAACCAGCCTCTTTAGCAATGACTTTTGTGTCTTGCCCTCCTTGTGCAAGGTGTCAATGGTCGTCTTTTGGACAAGTGTCAAGTCAGTAGTCTTCCTCATAATTGTGTAGCCTACAGAACTAGACTGAGAGACCATTTAAAGGCCTTTGCAGGTGTTTCGAGTTAATTAGCTGATTAGGGTGTGGCACCAGGTGTCTTCAATATTGAACCTTTTCACAATATTCTAATTTTCTGAGATACTGAATTTGAGGTTTTCATTAGTTGTCAATTATAATCATCAACATTAAAATAAAACATTTGAAACATATCAGGCTGTGTGTAATGAAGGAATATAATACACAAGTTTCACCTTTTGAATAGAATTACTGAAATAAATCAACTTTTTCACGATACCCTAATTTTATGACCAGCACCTGTACGTGTAAAACCAACCACTCCAATCATTTCAGGAAACTATGCCTTCTACTTTTTATATTGTTTAAAAGTATAGTTTCCTCAAATGACTGGGGTGACCAAAGATTAATCTATGGTTGCCAAGGCCACCATTGGCCACCCCCTGGCTCCACCACTGCACCTAGTCATAGATAAAACTGCTCCCTCCTCTCGCCATGATCCTTCACTTATCCACCTCAGACTAGGAAAAATAAAACCCTACCTCTGGTTCTTTACAGTGTAACTCACTTAAAAACATGAAGGTTTACTTGCATTCCCTGTTCACTTCCAGTCCAGAAAACACTACAGACATTCACTATTCAGATCCCTCAGCGACGGGGGACATCAGAGTATCTTTTGTTCAGTACGTTCTGACATTTAAAGCCCTACGACTGAAAGAGGGTGGACTTTCTGTCCGCCATCATAGTAAGGAGGAAGTGTTTCCTGTGTGAGTAACGCTCCTCGTCCAGGTAACTCCTGACCGAGTGCACATTCCTAAAACAAGTCTTTTCCTGTTGTTGGACAGCCGAAGCTTCCAAGCACTGAAGTGGTGTGCACTGATCTACTTTAAGACTGCAGCTCAGTCTGTTTGAAAGCATGACACGTACAGTACGACCTCATCAACTCAGTTTGTAAGTACACTAGATTTAACACCCCCCACCCCCATATTATCTTGGACCACTTGTGTATTGTGTCTGTAACAGTTTCTTTTGTCATGCTTGCAAGATGTTCTTTATGTATTTTGCCTCTATTTTATACTCAGAACAGTTAACTAGATATTCAATACCTCGTGTATGAAGTATTTACAGCACTTAGATTTTGATAAATGTGCGGACTCCAGAAAACGTCATCCATAAACGTTATCCTAACTTAGTGTCCACAAGTCTTTGCCTTTACTATATTGTTGAATTTGGTAGTAAACACTTGCACATGACTACATAGTTCTGAGGACTTGGATTGTATTATGTAGAGGTATATATTACACAATTATAAAAAAAATAATAATAATAAAATCTTACAGTTTTGGGACAAATTGTGCTGAATATAATAAAATAGAGTGTACAGATTTAATAAACCAAACCCATTGAAGCCAGTTCTGGTCTGGCAAGCTTGCCCACGTTTAGACCTTTCTCTCAGGGTAGTCTTGCTTTTTAAAGCTTTATTGGTGCATTTGCTCATCGGTGGTGGTGATTATGATAAACACATGGTGTAGAGAATGACTCTGTTTTAATAAAGGATCATGTGGAAGTTTATTAAGGGGATTTCAGCTCATAAAATGATTTGTTGGGCGACTCGATGCAGTTTTGTAGTTCATTAAACTGATGTGTCAAAGTTCAATGTAGATTGTCAGGAAGTGGCTGATGGTAGATTTTTTTTTTAACTTGCTCTCTAAAACACTGATTTGTTTGTTTGTTTCTTGAAGAGTTTCGGCTGTTTTTCGTTCCATCATACTTTGTGCATAATATACGGTATGATTTGGAGACATTTCTTATATGAAACAATCTCTTATAGTAACATGGACACACAACTGAAAAAGAAATGTATTTAC